ATACCTCATTTTACTCAGAATTTAATGCTGATTCCAAATCTGTAATTCTTTTTGCAAAATATTGGGGGCGAAAAAATGGCCTTAACGCCACTTGTCCTTTAGTTATCTCATATTAAATGAAATCGTTTCTATTGCACATTTTTGTCTAAAGAGAAAAAGTTGAAGAACATCGAGTTAAACTTACATGCAAAAATTTCATATATAAGTTTCACGAAAAAGCTATTCATATGTGGGATGTGGGTAGGTGTAGGTTTAGATAACATGAAGAGGCACTCACTTGATGAATAGTGGTCTTCTCATTTAAGTTCATGCTTTCATAGAAAATAATCATTCATATACTTGCATCATTAAATAATTTATGACTATGATTGCATAAAGCATCAATACATCACATGAATTAAAAGATGAATTCTCAGTTTGACAACATTTAGATAAAATAATTTAAACGAATCGATAGATTACTATGAATGAAATATTCAAAAATAAACGAAATTTAAGCTGATGTAATATTTTATTGAAGTCACTATACACGCAAACGTAAAACAATACCTGAATTATTTAAAATTCAATAATAGACTTATTAATCATGCAATGCAATGAGTGATTTCAATAGTTTTATCAATTCTATCCCGATCGATATTGATTTATTGATTAGATGATTTTAAAAATTGCCTAAGAAATTGCAAATCACTGATGTAACAAAAACCATATAAAAAAATTATGAAATATAGAGAAAAATAGAATTTAAAGTTCATTCTTATTTTTTTTCACTACACATTCACATGTGAAAATGAAACTTCATTGCATGAGCCGTATTAAATAAGATGAATAGCAATAATACCAGCATTCATTAATTTTTGAATTTTTTGTGCGATAACGGGATTTCGTAAATGTTCATATATTGCTAGAGGTTCATTTTGCATTTGGTCAAGTATTAAACACATACTGGGATCACCAAGAATTTGTTGAATTTCAGGATCAGCGAGTGCGTGTTTACGAACTTCTTCAGAATCATCACTTGATCCAATTGTACATTGTTGATAACCTTCCATCGCTTCCTAAACATACATTATTTATATTTGTGATCAAAATAAAATTTCTTTTATTTCTTTCTTTACTTGATTATTTGGATGAATTTCAAGAGCTTTACTAAAGGCAGTCGTAGCCTGGGAA